CACACACACACACACACACACACACACACACACACACACGCATGCACACAGTGAGTACAAAACGCCATAGTTACCCGTCCAACACTAATACATCATTGTTTGATGAACAGATCGCACCAGTTGGAAGTACAGCAACAGTGTTCTTGGGACTTTCTCTTCCAAAGACAGCAGACGTGCCCAGAATGTGGTTCCTGGACGTGGTGTGGCTACAGTGAGTGACACATCTCCTACACACAGGGAAATAAAAGGACTAGGTAGGTATGTACAATCTTCTAATTTAAATATTATCCATTTTACACCCTATCGACACAATTTAGGACGAATTCTGACCAGCTGTAGACGTTTCCGGTGAATATGTCCGATCTTGTGACTATCTCGCTGTTGATGTACATTTAACTGAATTGTTTGTTTTTTTAATGGGAAGGGGGGAGGGCGTAAAACAAACTATAACATTGAATGAAACAATCATTTCAGATTTTGAAGATACACTTTTGAAATCAACTGCCCCCCCCCCCCCCTTTCGTTTCGCCCAACGTCCCCCATTCTCGAGGAAAAATAACAGTAGGTTATGGGTTTGCTTGTTACGGCGTTTGTGGTGTAAGAGTTTTGGGGGTTTGCCGTCGCACGCAGGAGACCCTAGTTCGATTCCCAATTGGGGAGTATTTTTATTGTGTATCTCCATTTTTAGCTAGGAGTTTGCATCGTTCTCAGATCTGGTTGACCTGACAGGCAGGATCAAAATCCGCCTCCTAAATGCTCTAAATTGCGTCAACAACATTTCGACTGTTTTGTGTAAATTTCTGCCACATTATGACATTTTCAAAAGTGATGTATGGCGGATTCCTACTCTGAGCAGTCGATTTACAATTTTGTGTGTTATTTGAGGGTGCATGCAAATCTGTATCTCAGCGCGATTGACGTGTGCCTGACTCTTTAAAAAAAAAATCTTTTTAAAAACCCCACCAATTTCAAGAAGAAAAAGGAAACACCACCATTTTCAATAAGAAAAACAACCCAAACACCACCGATCGCATCAGGAAAAACACAACAACAGCAACAAAAAACAACAACCGAAAAAACAAAACCACCATCAATTACAAACTGGCTCAGTCACGGAGCCGCCAAAAACAGCAACAGAAATGACAGAGCTGCTAGTCACAGACGCCATTTCCCTTTCTCCATTCAAACACAGTCGTTTCTTTATGTGCGACCAGCTTTCTCTGTGATGTCTCTATGAGGATCTCGGCAGTGGGTTACCGTGTTTTCGTAACGGATTTTGAAATATATTTTGCGCTGTTGCTCGGCCGCGTGACACTTACGGGGGCTTGACAAAGCAACTCGAGCATCATTACAGAGTTGTCGACCTTTCTTTGGAGTAGTCTCCCCTTATCAAAATAGATTTTTTTTTTCACGATCTTGAAATAATCTTCTTTTATTGAGAGAGTATATTTTTTGCCGGTGATGTCACTGTTTTTTGCTGACATAATGTTGCGAAATAGCTCGTTTTTCACAATATTCTATTACTCATTCATATATTTTTAAAGTGTTTGCCATCACTGTACCTTTTTTTTCGAGTTTGTGTCTCCAAGTTCTATAAATAACTGGTTAGGGTGGCGGACTCGTAATTGTGGGTTGCAGGTTCGAGGATTCGAGCCTAAGGCCCAACGTGGTGTCGTTGGGAAAGGCACTCTACACGAATTTTCCTCACTTCATCTAGGTCGGAATGGGTGCCCGCCCAAAGATAGTGCTAGATCTTGTCAGAATGAAAGAAAGACGGAGCCTGCACTGTATTCTTCCCAGGAAGTTGAGATTGTTTCAGAATGCTCTCAGCTGCAAGGGTAATAATATAAATTGTAAAGCGCATAGTGCTTGCTGTTTCGCAGGAATTTGCGAGATACAAGTAATGCTAATTATTATTGTTATCATCGCATGGGTGAAATGGGTTTAAACCCATACCATGTGTCACAGACATACTGAACCTTATTACCAGACGTAGTATAGCTTAATCATCAATGCATGGTGAGGTATTGAGTATTAGAACCGTTTTAGCCTTACTCATTTTTGCAAAAGTCAACTGTTTTATCCTTAGGCCACAACACACAAGGTGAAAATGCGACATTTTCGTGGTAAAAAAATATCACCACTCAAAAATATACAGACGTGTTATGTACGTGTTTCTTTTCAAGAACTAGGGTCTTTTTCTTGCGACAGCGAAGCATTGAACCACTACGTCACAGGCGTCAGTTTTGTGAAGTATGACACTGCCAGGTTCTTCCCATCACATGTCCAAGACAATCTCCCACACAAACTGTCACTTCTCAGTGTCCCTTGAGATTGCTTTTTAATTTAATTTTTTTTGTAACCGTTATACGACACTGGCAACAATATAAGGTCATACAAGGGTCAAAGATTAGAGGTGATATAAGAAGATATCAAACACAAAAATGAAGGAGAAATCAGGACGATAGAGGTTTGATAGGACAGAAGGAGCAAACCACATCAAATCGCCCGCCAACCACATACTATTGTTCTATAATAATATTATGATGACCCTATCAAAGAGCGCCACCTGAAGAAGATGATTAATTGTCACCTTAACTATGGGTGATCGATGAAGACAGATTGGATTCAATTTTGCATGTAATATGATCATCTTTCCAAATGACCAGAACTTAGTCATCTTTAAGGGCGTTTAGAATAAAGTGATCGTTTCCAAACTAAAATCAATGTTTCTAATGTAACTTGATCTTTAATAATTTGACATGTATAAGAAATTTAGTTTTTTATGCCCAAGCCTGCAAATGTAAATCATTTAGAGCATTTACGGCGCGGGCATCCGCCTTACCTCTCAGAGCCAACCGTGGTGAGAGGAATAAAACGTTTCAACTGAGAGGCCGAGATACACCATGTACTCAATGCACGAGGGTGCGGTGTTGGAGTGGTTAGTGCGCTTGTCTCCGAACCGGAAAGTCCGGGTTTAAACCTCGGTTCGGATACGGATTTTTTTCGCTCCCTTCTGCCCACCCAGCAGTAATAAGTACCCGACTCCGAATTGGGGAAGTAAAGGCGGCACGGAAAGGAACTGGCCACCGTACCACAATATGCCGAATGTTCAGGAAGTTGTCTCACTAACAAGAAAATCCCCAATCTCTGGATCGGATGCGAGAGCAACTTAAATTTTACTCAATACAGATTCTCGCAAAATGGGAATCAAACTTCAGTCCTCTGGGTGCGAAGTGGAAGAGCCTAACCACTACACTACAGACGGCGATTCCTGAGACGAATGTTGACATGGTGTTATGACGCACACGATCATTAGCATTAACACTAGCGATAGATTAACGTTGGTACATTATTTATCGTGTGACCTACAACAACCTCGTTTTGACATCTCCTCCAACCCAACACCCCCCAATCTCCCGTGGCATTTGTATCTCAGTGGTCACTTGTGGTCACTCGCCGGTCATTGGCCGCAGGGTAGGTGACATCACGTGACAGGTTTACGACAAGCCAGGGCGGAGTTGACCAAGGCCCGAAGATTGCCAGGAAGGTCTTAACGCCGGAGAGTTTGGTGTGTCGGGTTGTGCTTAGCTGTTTCTATGTGATCGTGTTTGGTGAGGGAAGCTGGGTGTTTAGAGGTTAAGGGGGGGGGGGGA